TTGTTTGTAGAGTCAACAAACAAACAAACAAACAAACAAACAAGAACACTGCAGAACACTGAGCAGAACCAGAACTGGATCAGTGATCCGACAGCTGCGGGTCAGAACCTGTGCTGCTGGGTTCTACTGAACACCTGCATCAATCAGAACCAATCAGAACCAATCAGAACCAATCAGAACCCATCAGAACTACTGGTTTTATCTCAGAGACACTTCCTGCGGTCCAACTCAGGTTCTGCTGACAGAACCCGAACCACCCGAACCCCCCGAACCACCCGAACCACCCGAACCCYCCGACCCSTCATCAGACAGAAAGAGTTCAGAAGAAAACCCGGTCCAACAGAATAGACTGAAAGAAACCTGGTTCTGGTTCTGGTTCCGGTTCTGAAACAACCAGTTTGCAGCTTTGCTGTGGGACCAGCTGGGGGTTCAGAACCAGAGTCCAAAAGAACCTGGGAGGTCCAGAGCCACAGACACCAACAGAACCCTGGAACAGGACCGGTTCCGTGTGGAAACTTGGACCCAGAACTAAACTCCCGATCCCCCTCTTTCTCTGGTTCCGACCCGGTCCAGATCTTCCTAACAGAACCGGGACTTACCTTTGAAAGTCTCTGCGCTCGTGCGCGTGTGTCCCGTGCAGAGCAGCAGGAGGACCGGGACCAGAACCAAACTTCCAGTCCGGTCCATGTTCGGAGAAAGTCCTCAGAACTCCGAGCCGCTCCTCCTCCTCCTCCTCCTCCTCCTCCTCCGGGGCTTTCCCGCGCACGCACGCACACACAAACACACACAGGAGCGCGCGTGAGTACAATCACGGAGCCGCGCGCACAGAGGAGCGGTACCTCCGAACCTCTGCTCCGGTTCTGCTCTGAGAGAGCGCGAGGAGGAGGTTTGAGGAGCTGATGACGTCACGGAGGGGCGAGAGTGCCGGGGCTTCGCACCTCCTCCTCCATCATCTCCACTTCCTCCTCCTCCTCTTCTTCCTCCTCCTCCTCCTTCTCCTCCTCCTCATCCATCATCTCCTCCATCATCTCCTTCACCACCTCCACCACCTCCTCTTCCTCCACCACCTCCTCTTCCTCCACCACCTCCTCTTCCTCCACCACCTCCTCTTCCTCCACCACCTCCTCCTCTTCCTCTTCCTCCTCTTCCTCCACCACCTCCTCTTCCTCCACCACCTCCTCCTCTTCCTCTTCCTCCTCTTCCTCCACCACCTCCTCTTCCTCCTCCTCCTCCTCCTCCACTTCCTCTACCTCCTCCTCCTGGTCTTCTGCTGCTCAGATCACCAACAGGAGGAGCTGCAGGAGTTCTGTTCAGTTCTGATGACGATCATCCTCACCTACACACTTTACACACACACTACACACACTACACACATTACACACACTTTACACACACACTACACACACTACACACATTACACACACTTTACACACACACTACACACACACTACACACACACTACACACACTTTACACACACACTACACACACTACACACACTACACACACTTTACACACACACTACACACACTACACACACTACACACACTTTACACACACACTACACACACTACACACACCTTACACACACTTTACACACACACTACACACACTACACAC